TGTATCACTGATTCCAGGAAAACTTGGAGACCATATAATGGAGAAAGCACAAGTCAAATGATGTCTCACCAGCACTGTAAAGCACAATTTAATGAGTTTAAGCACCAGTGCAATCTGTCATATTAAGTTTCAGCTTTGTAATTATAATTATTTTTTCTCCACAATAAGCAAAGAACATATTGCATTTTCTGCTGCATGAAACGATTGTTCATTTAAAGTACTTTCTCAGCCTGATCTGTTCCCGTTTTACAACCCCTCCCCATGCCCCCGGCTCTCTTTTTTTCCCCTGCAGACATGCTGCTGTGATATGCGCAGAATGTAGTTTGGCACCGTCTTACTGAAATAAGCCAGTCTCTGCCTAAAAGATATGTCATCTAGTCGGCAGCACATGCTGATCCGAATCCTGCAGAGACTGTTCAGCGTTAATGGTGCCCTCGCAGATGTGCATGCTCATGCACACCTACATCAAGATAACAAAGCTGCAGGATTTCGGGTTGGAGGATGCAGTGTCCATGATTTTCAGAAAGAACCTCTAATCCTGAACCATCATACCACAGGATGATATCCTCACTCAGAGTACATTTTTAAATGAGGCTGTTGCGCGTGTTGTTCTTTCAACCTTGTTTATGTGTTTCTTTTCTTTTCTTTCTTCACTGACAGTGATTCTCAGAGGTTTTTCTCGACTTCATGCAGCAACTCAGCCTTAAAAAAAATTGGCTTTCGGTCTTGCCAGCTAAATCCAATAATGGAATTCTAATTAGGGGATAATAATAATGATATTAGAATGTTTTAATGTTTGAATTACTGAAAATGTTCTGAAATTGCTGCACTCTTTGGTTGTGCAGAGTGATAAACTGTTCCCGTCTTTACTTCGTAGAATAGACTAGACTTTATTGTCATTACCAAACATTTATCATGCAGTGCAGTCATATATGGTTTGCAGTTCTACATGTGTTCAAAAGATTAAGCTAAAGGTATAAAAATAAACATAAATAGAAAGAAAGAAAATGCAACAATACTGTGCAGAGGTTCAGCAGCATGTGGTGTGAAAATGCAAAGCGGCTGATATTCACAGATCAACACTGCAGTGTTTACTTAAAGACTCACGGCCATGCTCTTTGTACACCTAATCATATTACTGACCAATTAACCTAATTAGCTGTGAGATCTTCAACCGGGTCAGGCAGCTGTGAAAGTGGTGATGACATCAAATCCAAACAGAGTATTCAATTCAACAATCACAAGCATTACTTTGCATTATTTTCTGTAAATATGGGGGTTAAATCATTTGAAATCCTTCCTTTTACATTCTAAAATAGGTTTGTTCTTTCATGACTGTAAACAAAGAAGAAGAGAAAAATGGCTTTGTTTTTTTGTCATATAATATATAATACAAAGAAGGTAATGCTGCCTTTTGGAAAGTAATTCTTTGTCCATTCGGAGGCAATGAAGAAAAGGACAGGTGGCAGTATTAACCATGTATACAGTGTAAACAAGAGGTGTATAGGCAACAGTGCCTCGGTAAAATAAAAACAAAAGCTTTGTGGACATTTCAAACAGAGTGGTTTTTCTGTTGGAGCACTGACAGGAATTCAGCAGGAGTAATTCACTGTGTGCTAAATGTTATTGTCTCCCTTTCATCATCCATTACAGCTCAGTTCTGCACTGAAGCCGTCAGGAGTTAAGCGTCAGTCGGGAATTTTCTCAGCGTTTTAATGAAATATGCTATTACAAACCCACACTATTGCATTAGACTGTAAACAAATAGCGCTTGTTAAGATGTAAGCATTTTCTTGTTTGGATATTATTCTCGGGAAATAACTTCAATTCTGACAATACATTTCTGCAATAAGAAACTCGCTCGACGGGATATTTCATCCCCTATCCGATTGTGTGTGTGTGTGTGTGTGTGTGTGCGCGCGTTGTAAATCTGTTAAGCCAACCTGCATGCAAGGAGCAGCTGCCTCCCAATATTAGCGATCCACATACAATAAATCTCATTAAACACAAAATTGCACACAAAGCTGGAAATGCAAATTGTAAACCGCACCGATTATGTTCAAGGAAAACCAGTGTATGCTCAGCGTGCGTGCGTGTGTGCGTGCATACCATATGAGTGTGTGTATGGTACGCTTATAGGCATGTGAGGGCATGTGTACCACTAAATCTATACATCTGCCTCTCCACGTGTGCCCAGAGATGCCAACCAGGAGCCAAGGCAAAACCTGATCGGAGCAGGTGGCGTGTGCAGTGACCTCACAGAGCCCAGATGGACCAGCGCTACACAGTTAGTAATATAGGGGCAACATGGGAGTGACATGGAGAGTAAAGGTAGGCGGCTTTTTGAGTGCGGCATGGATAAAACGCTCAACGACCTGGACTTATGTCCTTCTGTGATCAAAGAACAAAAAACGTGTAGATGAAGTGGCTCGACACTGTTTGTGTGTGTCTAACAAATGTCTGTTAGTGCGATGACAGGAGATACCGGTCGGATAGACACTTTAAGGTTCATGGTTTACTAAAAAAAAAAACGAAAAACAAACCTTGGTAAGAGACCGAAGCCGGTAAATGATATTTCTCCCTCTCCTGAAGCAGCATGTGAGTCACAGTCAAATGGCTTATCTGATTGTACTCTTCATGCCAATTAAGACTACAGAAGCTAAATATAGATGTACTATGATTTTCTTTCTTGAATGGCCTTTGATTCATTTTTTGTTGTTGTTGTTTTTTCTGCGAACACTTTCTTGCTGTAGGCTGGCTGTTTATGTATGCAGTGGTGGAGATGTTTGTAGATATAGGAGTCGTTTCAAAAGAGGTGGTGGTGGTAGGGGGGGGAACGGGGCTCTACAGCCCTACTGAAGTACAGGTAATCTTTGAAATGCCACAGCTTTTGTTTCAGTCGCAGAGAGCTGATAATGAATGGCTAAGTACGGGGGGAGACTGACGCAGGCTTGTGCAGAATGAGAAATAGGTGATGTTTAGTAGCCCACGTCAGAGGAGAAAGTCGGGCCAAAGCACTGCGAGCTACGGGACCAACATCACGACGTGTTCAATCATTCTGCTCCCGCGAATGGCCCGGGGGTCTTCGCTTTCTCACCACCCTTGCGTTTAGCTGCTCTTATAGATATCACCTCGCAAGAGGCCCAAATCTACAAGATGGAGTGTGAAAAGTTGCCAGCACCTATTTGATGCATAGCATGTCTAAAAAAACGCTGCTAACGGCTTGAATATTGCAAACCGCTGAGCGTTAACCTGCTTCAAGATGGACCGTAAAGAAAGAAAGGAAAGCGTCCGCTGATCCAGTCTCTAAAAAATCAAGCAATGTGATCTGTTAAATGAGAAACATACTTGCTTTTCACAAGGAGGCAAACTACAGGGTTTTTGTTTTGTCTTTTTTAACAAAGGATTAGAGAAATTCAGTGAAACGTCAGTTGACAAGAGAAGTCATCAAAGCCAAAATGGGTCTAATCCACAGATAATTATCTTTGTTTGAATATTCAACATGGCCTGACTCGTGGAACAGAGCCGCCTATTTGCATTTCTGGTCTTAGATATTAATATTTCTATTTAAGAGCAGAATTTACATGGACGGGTTCCGCGGGTGAAATTAAGATCAC